CCAAATTTGCGCCCCAAATGCGTCGGCGCGGACACGGAACGGACGCCACGCGCGCCTTCTCGGTGTCCGCCGCATCCCCACCTGGCGGCCGTCCAACTACCTGCTACTCACGCGATCAACTTAATTTATGACCACGGGCCCACACGTCAGCGATGACTGTCGTCCTTTTTTAAGCCGACTGTGCGACGGGGCCGTCCTCATCCAAACTCGCCGTCCACATCTAGCCAGCTCTGCTCCCCCATCGTCGGCAAACCCTAGCCATCACCACCACAGCGAGATGGGGCTCTTCTCCGGTGCCGGCAGCACCAAGGCCAAGGGCAAGGCCCCCACCATCCCTTTCCCATCGGAGCTCCTCCCGCCTCCGCCAGCACCGGCTCGCCGGCAGAGGCAGCACGTGAACGTGCCAGTGCACCAGGCGGAGTGGCACTGGCAGCATCGCGTGCCTCTGCCGTACCCCGACGTCACCCTGCCGCACGACTGGCATCTGGATCCAGAGAGGATCCCAGTGCCGGCGGCGCCGCGGTCTGCTAGGGCGCACGCGGAGGAGGTGTGGCGCCAGCAGGCGCTGCTGACGCCGGAGCAGCGCCGCGACAACACCTATGCCATCGACTCGTCAAACTGGAAGCGGTGGTTCGCCTTTGAGTACGAGGAGGCGAGGCACTGCGGCGTGCGCGAGGTCGACCGCAGCCTGCCGCCGCCCCCGCTTGTCGTCCACGAGGAGGATCAGGCGGCGAAGGACGCCTACAGGGCGGCCCTTGCGGCGGTCTACTGCAAGAGCGAGGAGGACGAGCGGCGCAGGATGGAGGCGGCGGAGGAAGAGGAGGCCCGGTACAAGGCGGCCATGGCGCAGGCCATTGCCCTCTCCGCGGTCGGCGACTGCGTGGTGCCGCCGGTGGCCCCGCCGTCCCCTCCTCGACGCCGCGTCAAGGCCGACCCGGAGCCGCAGCCGGAGCCCGAGCCGGAGCCGTCCCTGATCGAGCGCTACTCCTGGACGAGAGTACTGCGCGAGTGGGTGTCCGCGCCATCGATTTGGATGGGGGTGACGCCGGCGCAGGAGGTGGCCTACCTCGAGATGTGGCGCTAGTGACGGCTGACCGAGGAGCGCCGTCGCGGCGAGTACGAGGAGATGCTCTAGCGCGACCCCGAGGAAGAGCAGCGTGAGGCTGAGGAGGAGGCGCGCCAGGCCGCGGCTGCACAGGTGGCCGCACAGCCCCCCGCGCCGGCACTGCCCGCGCCGAAACAGCCCCTCGCGCTGGCACTGCCCGCGCCAGAACAGCTGCCCGCGGTCTACATCACCGCCGCCTGAAACATGGCATTCCCCTGGGCCGGCCCTACGTCGACGCTCATCGATCTCACCGCCCCCGAGGGGGAGGAGGAGGACGACGCCTAGTGCTGCGCGCCGCCTCGTAGTTTAGGTTGTTTTTATTTTTCTTAAATGCTAATGTGGACGTGTGGACTTTCACCGGCCTTCGTGGCCAGCTGTAATGTTTAATTAATGTTTTTTAAATATGCATGCGTTTTTTTTCTAGCGTCGTCAAAATGGGTCGGGCCAGCGTTGGGCGCACGCGTCGACCCAAACGCGGAAGTGGACAAAAAATGGACAAAATCGCTGTCCGTTTGGGTCGGTCGTTGGAATTGCTCTTAGACCATCGTTTTCGATACAAATGCCTAAGGCCAACTCCACCGCACGACCCCAAACGAACGTCCGGTTTGGCCGAATTTTGTCCCTTTGAGGCGGCGATGGGTTCGCCCATGTCCACGTTTGTTCGTTGGGTCCTGGGTGCACCAATGCGCGGCCTTACCCCAAATCATGTCCGGGGTGGACGTGATTAAAAAAACAAAAAACTTAAATAAAATGCCTAAAAAGTAAATAAACGCACTTAAAAAACATAAAACATATATAGAGGTCACGGCCACAAAATGGCCCAGTTCCATAATCCACTTAAACGGCCCAGTTCAATAATTAAACATAAAAGGAAAATAAAAAACGCCGCCCGCGCGCTCCTGCCGCACCCATCGATGCCGTGGTCGTCACCGTCTTCACTGGCCGCCGGTGTCGTCGTCGTTGCTAACGAGGTCGACGTAGTCCGACGGCGTCCACAGGTGGGCCGGCGGTCCGCGATGCACAGGGGCGGCGGGCTGGAAGGTGGCCGGTGCCTGCACCACCTCCTCCCGAGGCGAGGCGTCCCGCTCCGGCGACCGCGGTGACGTAGGGCACCAGTTCACGCCTCCCACGGCAGCCGCCATCTGCTCAGCGATGCACGACCAGCTCCATCCCTGACCCACCAGGCCAGGGTGGAACGCGGCCACCGGCGGCTCCTCCACCACCTCCTCCTTCAGCACCATCTCCACCTCGGGGATGGCGACATCGCCGGCCGCAGAGAGGGCCATCGTCTTCTCAAGGCCCGGCCACTGGCGCTCATCGTGCGTGTTCATGGAGTCCGCCATGACACGCGCCATGAGCCAGGCCTCCTCCTCCGCTGTCATGCGAGGAGGTGGTGGAGGAGATGGAGATGGCGACGGCGTGGCCGTGAGGCCGTGCACCCGCCTACGCCCGCGCTCCCGGGGAGCCGCTCGGGGCTCATGTGGCCGCCGCGGCCCCGTCGACGTGCCGGCGAAGAAGGACGCCCGCCGCATGTCGTGCTCATCGCGGAACCAAGTGTCCCACAATGGCGAGTCGGGGGCGTACCTCTCGTCGTAGTAGAGGTCGTCCGGGAGGAGGTGACGGCAGCGCTGGATCTCCTGGCGGCGCGCACGATCGCTCAACGGGATCGGCGGGATCGACATGCGGTCGGCCGACAGGTGCCAGTTATTGGGGAGGTGGACGTCGCTCTAGGGCAGCGGCGTCCTCGTCTTCCAATAACGGCGGCAGACGGCCGCCTCGATGTAGTGCCGGTCGCGCTCGCCGGCGGCCGTGGACGCGATGGAGAACGCGGGCGGCGCGGGGGGCCGATGCGGTGGCGATGGCGAGGCGGGCTCCTCCTTCTTTACGGAGTCGCGGCGGCGTCCCGACGAGGAGCCAGCCTCGCGGTCTTGCTTGCCTTTGCGGCCGTAGTTCCATAGCCCCATGGCTGCGGGCGGCCGGCCGGCGAGTTCTTGGCTAGGGTTTGGGACTGGGCCTGTCGGGTTTCGAGGAGGCCGCGGGGTGGCGTGGGGCAGTGTGGTCCACGGTTCCCATTTAAAAAGGACCGCGACCCCTCATCTGGGCGGATGACAAACGGGGCCGCCCGCGCGTGCGCATTGATGAGGCGGGGGGAGGTAGGTGGCCGCCGTTCACGCGGCCTCGACGCAGACGAGGCGCGCGTCCATTTGGTGTCCGCCGCGACCCAAATCTAGCGCACGTTTGCGCTTGAAATGGATCGGCACGGACATAAAATGAACCAGATGGGTCTGGGCCATCGCGTGCTGGACCGTCTCGTTTATCCGTTTTATCCCAAACGGATGGGGGAGACAGAATGGGCCGCCCGGTGGAGTTGGCCTAAAACCGGTTGTTCAGGCGAAAGTCACCTTCATGCTCAGGTAGTTACCCTATTGGGATATGGTCTGTCGAGATGGTCTATTGCCCGATGTCAAACGTGTTTTCTCACCGCAACAAAAAGCAACATCAAACGTGTTCGTTTTGTTCCGTCGCACCGAAAAACTGACACATGCGGCTGCTGACTCGCACGCGATAGCAGTACCTCTGTACGAGGAGTGTACCAGCGAGAGGCGATAAATAGCAAAACTGCGCTCGTAAAGCCGCGGGGCCCACGTGCACCCCCGCACAACGAACAGCCCTCTTCGGGGTCACAAAACCGGGGTGCCGTGCGCCCGCCCGCCACGGTGGTGCCCCACCTCCTTTGCCTTATCCCTTCCGCTTCCCGGTGGCCCCCACCCCCTCGCTTACCACCCACCATCATCCGTTTCCGCCGTGTCACCGCCAGTGGGCCCAGATGGTCCGCTGCCCCCGCGTGTCAGTGTCCAAACGTTCCGTAGCCCGGCGTACCGTCCCAGCGCCCCGCGACACGTGGAGCTCGCGCGCTGCTCCCCGGCGCTCGCTATAAGCCATTTTTCCTCCATCCCCCACCTTTCCTCCTCCCTCCCCACTCGTGGCCGGACCTGACCTGACCTCGTGTCGTCACTGTCGCTCGCGAGACTTCGCCGGATTTGGAATCAGATACGACACGCCGCCGGCGACGATTTCAGCCGCCGGCTCCGTCGAGCTCCGCTAATCCGTGGCTCAGCCCAGCATCGGGTGGCTCCTGTGGCCTGATTCCACGCCCGATCAGGTAATTTCACCTCCTCTGCAATAATAACTAACTTTAGGCGCTTGGCGATTCTCTCGGCTGCTGCTGATTTCGTCCAGCCTCCGACGTGCTCCCCTCCGTCTCTGCTCTGATCCTCTCTTCTCCGGTTATTCCAATCCGGAGATTTGGGCATTTTTGCAGTTCGTTCCGCCTGCCGTCCGCGACCTGCAGAGCTTGGTGCGAACGGAACGTTCGATACTGTCGGATGTTTGCAGGGTTCACCGTAATCATCCGCAGGGGTTGGTTGCTCTGTTCGCAGGGCTCAATTGCGTGTAGGATTGGTTGGCGTTGTGTGGTGATTGGACGCCAGGCTCAGTTGCGTGAGAGATGAACACTTCACTCGAAACCGACCACTTGCATTAGAATCGATTGCGTGAGGGTTTGGTTTTGTGTGACTGCGTCTGCATACAATCTTCTGATAGTAATTTCCTTACTGCAGTGCAAGTCAAGCTTATATTGATTATATTGACAATCTTCTGATAGTAACTTCCTTGCTGCAGTGCAAGTCAAGCTTATTGATTATATTAGTTTTATTGATGATGCAGGATGGCGTTGAAGAAGGCCAAGTCCTAGTCACGCCTGAAATGGATGCTAGGGAATCGAGCCGTGGCCGGGAAGTACACGCACCTCTGATTCTATCCATGGTCTGTGACACTGTACGTCCATCCATAGACTTGAGGCAGTGATCAGGTTTGTTCAGTGCAAGAACTCGCCATGGGCAGTGCCTGCTCAAGGAACAGAGGCCAAGTGGTCCATGAGGATCAACTGTACAGTGTCAAGTTCTCCAAGAGCGGCAGCTTCAAGTGGCTGCTCCACACGCTGTCACGCAGCAGCTCTGATGTGCTCCGGAAGTCGCAGGGACCGGGCCCAGGTTGCCGCCCGTCGCTGGTGGAACTTTGCGTGGCCAGAGTCCGTGAGGTAGTCATGTGACCTCATATCTTCAGAGTTTGGCCAAGCGATGCCTCTTCTTGGCTGAGTTGATGTTGGTGATTGCAGGACATAAGTAGGTATTCAGATTTCTCCATGCTGCCTAGGGATCTTAGCCAGCAGATATTCAACGAACTGGTGCGCTGTAGCTACATCAATGAGGAGTTGCTGGGAGCTTTTCGCGACTGTGCTTTGCAGGTGAAATTTTGGTGCCTGTTTGGTAAACTGTTTTGAATGAAATAGACAGTGATGTTTTGTCTTAAATACAATTTTTAAGGCGAAACAATGGGAAAATTCCCCACTGCATTTTTTTATTAATATGGGTTATGTACAAAAGAATGATGAATAAAATAATACAAGTCTAGCTTATCCCTGTTAACTATGAACAATTACTTGATGTAAAATTAAAGTTCCCGTACCATCAATCAGGCCTTTATATGTAAATGTATTTTATTTTTCTCGACAAACTCTTATGTGTATTATCAGGGAGCGAAGAAAGGCATCTTATCAGACATTCATTGTTGGTTTTTCAAGGTTCACTCAGTAATTTACTCCTAGAATGCAATTCTTTGTCAAGCTTGTTCCTAGAAAGTAAAAATTACTTTGGTAAATTTATCCGGTAAGAATGAAAAAGCCCTATTCCTTAGGGAAGCCCATTTAATAGACCATTTGAGATCACTTAGGTAGCTAGCTACCTTATTCCTAGTCAGATGGCACTTCTTGCTTAAGGTAAATTGCAAGCCATGCCACCAGTTTGCTTGGTGAGCTAGACCAGAAAAGAAAAACTTGAAGGCTTCTATCACGCTCTGGGACGAGTTAGCCTTACATGACAACCAATTGATCTTCCACGCTATTCGGTATCAGGATATTTGTCTGGATGAGTACCCTGGAGTGAAGGATGCTTGGATGGAAGTAATCGCTTCTCAAGGGCAGTCCTTGCTATCTGTTGATATCTCTTGCTCTGATGTGACTGATAGTGGATTGAATCTTCTCAAAGATTGCTCAAATATGCAAAGTCTGGCATGCAATTACTGTGATCGAATTTCTGAGCATGGACTTAAAACAGTGTCAGGTATGTGATGCCAATAGTCCAGTAGCTGTGCGAGTCTGGGGGGTGAATGTTCATTTTTATGATGTATGATGTGTGTCTTCATTCTGCAGGCCTCTCAAACTTGACATCGCTCAGCCTTAAGAAATGTGCTGCTGTTACAGCTGAAGGAGCAAAAGCCTTTGCAAAGTTAGTTAACTTGGTAAATTTGGACCTTGAGCGATGCCCAAAAATTCATGGTGGCCTTGTTCATTTAAAAGGTGGCCTTTTGTTCCCTGAACCAATTGTTTGTAAAGCATGCCCAATCACCTAATTTATTCCAACTTATACATTTCCATTTCCTGACATGTGATACATACATTTGTTTGTAGTCACTATAAGAACTGGCATGCGGCCTATTTATTCGCATTCCGCTCAATAGCAAGTAGCTCCGAAAAACTACTTGCCTCTGTTGCAATAACATAACATTCTTTTACAGGCTTGAGAAAACTGGAAACACTGAACATGAGATATTGTAACGGCATCACAGATTCAGATATGAAGTATTTATCAGGTTATAATTCTTCTATGGCTAGTCTAAACCAATCTATGTTCTCATACACGTTGATCTACAATGCAATGCCCTTCTCCTTGTGTAGATTTTACGAGCTTGAGAGAGTTGCAACTGTCTTGCTGCAAAATAAGCGATTGTGGTGTTTCTTATCTGAGAGGTACCCCCCAAACACATGCTCTTGAATTGTTTTTTTGTTGTTGTTGACTAACTCTTCGTTTTTATTTACTTAGTAACCCGAGGGTTTATAAATTTAGCCGTGTTTAAGTTGTTGGTTTGATCTCTTAGGTCTGTCCAAACTATCCCACCTAAATCTGGAGGGCTGTGCAGTGACTGCTGCTTGTTTGGAAGCTATATCAGGTTTTACATCCTTTCCTTATAGAGCACCCTGCTGTTGATGCTACTTCCGTAGAAGTTTCTTTGGCTTAGTCTTGCCCGTTGAAAGGTGCTGACAATTGTGTATAGTTTGATCTATTATGTATGTTGCAGCAGGAGGACGATTGGGCCTTAGAACTCTGTAGAAGTATGTGTGTCATGAACTTATTCACAAGTTACCACAGCAGTCTTATATTTTTATTCTATCTCTAGAATTCATGCCCCAGAGAGATGCCCTTTTGGTAGAAAGATAACATGATATCTTTATAAGTTTGCTTCAGAAGTTTAATGAGAATGAGTCAAAGTAACATATTAGTTAGCCAGATAGTTCTTCTGTGCATTTATGGGGACACCATGCTGTTCTATGTAAAAATGATGAGAGATGTTTTTACCTCTTCTGTTTCTGAGAGTCAGTGTATGGAGTTTAACTCCATTATTTTGAAGGGAAGCTTGTGTTGTTGACCGGAGGAGTTAAATGTTCCTTTTACAAGGACATTGTTATTTACGAGGCCTGAACTTACTATTTCACTGTTGCATGGTTACTCTGTTGTAATACTCATTTATGTTGTAGCATTCAGTTAGCATTTCATGCATAATTATGCAAATAGTTGCAAGCTCACTATCTGGGTGCCAAACTTCATTAATAGTCATGCTATTTCAGGATTGGCTTCATTGGTTTTGTTAAATCTCAATAGGTGTGGCATATGTGATGAAGGCTGTGAGAAATTGGAAGGTAAATACGGCACCAATTGATGACCATATTGTGAACATGACTCTTTGTTACTTTCTGAGATCATTTGTGTGTGATGGCATGCAAAATGGGATACATGTTTCCTTCTTTGAGATGTAGGTGTCTAGCTCAGTAGTTGCATTGATGGATCCGCAATGCATCTCTGTTTCCTTCACCCACAATTTTTTCAAGCATGCATATTTGTACCCTTTTGTGACCTGTATCTGTCCAAGTGTGTTCCTTTGTCCTGCACAGCTACACCCTTTTATAGCTCACTGTCTGGTAGCTCATGGTCTGGTGCTGCCTTGCAGGTCTTGTCAAATTGAAGGTTCTTAATTTAGGGTTCAACCACATTACAGATGCCTGCTTGATTCATCTACGAGGTGAGTATTAATCACTGTTTATCTTTGTATTAATTTGTTGTATAGCAACATTCGAACATGCTAATATCGAAATCCTTGAGACACCCATCTATGCAAGCAACAAGTGTTTCACATATTAAAATGTTTACTTGATTGATTTGGTCATCCTATATTAAAATGTTTTGAGACACTCCTCTCTTATTTTATCAGTTTTGTACTAAAATTAACAAAGTCATTGTTGTGCATGATTTCATAAAACCAGATTTTTTTTTTGTTTCTCAAACACGCACGTGAATGCACTTCATTTTGTAGTAGGAGAAAGTACCGAGAAGGCGCAGATCTTACAAACCAACTAGAAAACCCAAACGAAAATGAAATAAACAAGAAACTAAGAACAGCCCCGAAGGAATTTATGCAAATGAAGCAACAGCATAAAACATGATTATTATCCTTCAAGAAAGATGGCTGGTATTTTATCTTTTTGCCTTTGCACAAAGATGCTTGTAAGATGAAAGCAGAGGCATGTCAAAGAACATGCAGAGGATCTTGCACTTCTGGCATGTATGTTATTCATTTTCTAGATCAAAATGGAGTGTCAATTGGAAGCACTTGTCTCTTGTATTAAATCTTGTATAAAAATATATTTAAAAAATATAACCATGGAGACGCCCATTTGAATCGTGGATCCGGTATACTAAACAACACAACGCGGGGACAGTTTGTATATGATGTTCTTTGCTCCTTCCAGAATTGATCAATTTGGAGTGTTTGAACTTGGACTCATGCAAGATTGGTGACGAGGGACTATTGCACCTGAAAGGTGAGTTCCTTCAGCATGTCTTAATTTTTCTTTTCTTTTTTTGCAACTGTAGTAGCATGTCTCAATTCATCTCCTATTACATCTTGTTTTATAAAATGTCGAATAGTGCAATCATCGAGTTAACCAACTCGTGCAGTTTACTGTTGTGGAATGGCATATGATTTTTATTTACCAGACTTCTCTACAGTTAGCAGTATAGCATTTATGGGGCATTCTTGTTTGCCTGCAGAAATTTGTATTGAGCGTTTATGGTTAGACGATTTTAGCGCTTTCTGTCTAGAAAAATCAAATTTTGGCTCTCCTTTTTTTTTGAATAATAGCTCTCCTGTTGTAAAGCACTAATTGATACATTTTGCTGTTCTGTAGGCCTTTTGCAGTTAAGAAGTTTGGAACTTTCGGACACTGCAGTTGGAAGCAATGGACTTCGTCATCTCTCTGGTTTGTTTACGCTTTGCCAAATTCTGTTTCATGAACTGTTGATTCTCTGTTTCCCCGCTCTTTAATTTGCCTTCGTTTTAGTAGTCCAGTTGAAAAGTTAGCTTGTTACATTATTCTTGCTGCTAATTTGAGAGAAAATTGAACTTGCTTCTGCTGTAACCAATGTAAGCTGGGTGATCACCATAACACTGGAATATATGTAGTTATGTCTTGTTGGCTTCGTCTAATGATTGGTTACTAAATGTAGATTACTTCTAGTAATGTGTTTATAGAAATATTGTTTCATCTTGGTGGCCAATGCATTATCTTAGATTATATTGTCATTTTCTGGGCTGCCTACCTGTATTGTGGTCAGGTGGCTTGTGTCAAAGGCATAAACCACTGGTTCACACAATTCAAGAAATACCACTTAAAGTTGCATGATAGAGGGGCCAATGCTGATGATGTACAGTGGTATGTTTGGCAATTTTCCATTTCTGAAACTGATCAGTTATGTCAGGAAATGACTCCACGTTTAATGGTACATTGCATGCACACATTTCATTGACAGTGTCCCCTGACTTTTATCTTGCTACATAAACAATGCCTAGCTTAATGTGCTCTCAACAATTGATAGTTGAGCCATAATATTCATCTTAATCACAATGCGGAAGTGTTATTATGAGGTTTATGTGTCTGAACTCTTACGGTCGATATTATTTTTCACTGTAGTTATGCAACGGTTCTTTTGCAGGTCTTCGGAATTTGCATAGCATGAATCTCTCTTTTACAGTGATTACGGACATTGGTCTGAAGAAAATTGCTGGCATGAATTCACTGAGGTCACTTAATCTTGATAATCGCCAAATCACAGACAATGGCTTGGCAGCTCTTACAAGTATGTCTCTCAGATTCCCAGGTCTTGTGATGATGGATAGTAACTCAGCCAAATTTCGTCATTTGTTGCGTTAGTTATTGGGTTTCTAGTTTTTAAACTAAGTGTCTACATCTTTAAGCAGTTTCATTGGTAATATAAGGGTTACAGTTGTGTTAATAACTGGATCATGAAGAGTATCTCTTCAGGGCACTTCCATAACCTTGCCCCTAAGATTCCGTATTTCCACTGTTTACCTTTCTAGTGATGCTAAATTTCTGTCGTTTACAGAACTTGGGAACTGTAATATGGGCAAGAATAGCCCTTCATGACAGTGGTTCGCCCGGTGTCGCAATAATTTGTGGTCTTTCGGATGTATTTGGTCATAACATCACGTTGGCTAAAGTCTACTTATCTGGTCAATGCAGCTCTGACCGGATTAACGCACCTTGATCTTTTTGGAGCTCGTATAACTGATGCTGGGACAAACTGCCTCAGATGTAAGGGTGCATGATTAGATCAAAGATCGATTCAATCATATGACACCTAACATGGTTGTCACTATTTCAGGTTTCAAGGGTCTGCGGTCTCTGGAGCTCTGCGGTGGGCTAATCACCGACGCTGGAGTGAAGAACATCAAGGACCTCAAAGACCTGACGTTGCTTAACCTATCCCAAAACGGCAACCTCACAGACAAGACCTTGGAGATAATCTCGGGTACGTGCATCCTTCGCATTCTTTCTTTCGTTTCCCCGAAACTTCCGGTATGATCCTCACAGTTGTATACCCTTGTCGCAGGCCTGACCGCTTTGGTCTCGCTGAACCTGTCGAGCTCCCGGGTATCCAACGCCGGCCTCCACCATCTGAGGCCGCTGCAGAACCTGCGCTCGCTGTCGCTCGACTCGTGCAAGGTGACGGCCTGCGAGATCAAGAAGCTTCAGCTGGCCGCCCTCCCCAACCTGGTAAGCGTGCGGCCGGAGTAGTCCGGTAATCGGCACCTCCGTCCATCTGTAGATAGCCACTACGAGTAGAGCGGGCAGAACGTGCCTGCGCGTCTGTACATACATAGTCTTGTGAGTCACGCGAGGGATTGATCTGATGATAGACTGAACTGCTGTTTATGTCGTCTACGGTGTGCCCATTAAAGCTGATGCGAAGAAACAACTGTAAATGCGTCGTGCTTCCTCCGCATCTGGGATGGTATGTAAAATGTAATGGCTCCTGTACATAACAGTTGGTGTTTGCGAAGTTTTGCCGCATGGTGCTACGATCCTGGTTACAATTCTCAGTGCGGATCGCTTTCCCTTGGCATGTGACGCGGCCGGGCACCGCTGTGGTATCAAACAACTCACAAACAGCAGCAGCCAAATATATTTCATGTTACCAAACAAACCACAAGCAGCAGCAACTAAATCATAAAGATGAAATCACAAGGATCCTATATAGATTAAGGACATGCCCTTCAATCCATACACAAGAGCTAAGAACAGGCCTTTCAGTTCAACTAAACTAGATGCTCCCTCACAAAAAAAAAACTAAACTAGATGCTCATGATGTTCTCTTCGCATGGAACAAAACAGCTGGGGAGAACTTATACTAGAAGCACCTAGGAGTTAGATGTGAACACAATTAAAAATGAAGGACCTTTATATTAGACGCACCTACTAGTTAGATTTGAACACAACTAACAATGAAGTATATATAAGCAAACTTGTGGAGCCTCGTGCTGTAATTAAATCCTGGATAGATTGCATGAGAACTTGCATAACTTTTGACTCAAGACCTTAAATCACTCACTGTTTGTTGTGCACAAAAGATGACTTCAAATGTCATCTTATAGAGCACCTAAAACACTAGACCATTATAGAATTAATTCAATTTAGGTGGACGGTTGCAGCTTGAGATCTGATGTGTCATTTCTCCCGAAATAGGCATCGGGACCTTTCCAACATAGATAATGGTTTTGCATGTGCCTTTCTTTGTCTTCTCCAATGGTTTAACTGCTCGACCTCACACGTTGATGCATTGGTCATGAACTAGTACAGATCATCCTATCTTTCCTCAAACAAAACCATCCTTGGTTTTGAGGTATTTTGTATTGACTTCTTCACATGAGGGAATTGCTCAACCTTGATTGTGTGATCCACCGTAGGCTCGACTACATGGTTTACTCCTTGATGTGTAGAGGAATACTTGTTAGACCTTCCATGGTGAGTACCATTGTGATGGAACTACTACAACCTTCCCAAAAGAAGATGACAAGATTGCATTGACACCACATCACATACCACCTTGTCCACATAACTTTCCACTGAAAATGCCACCCTCACACCATTCAACCATTTCACATAATATGACCGGGGTTACCTCCATGTTGATATCCAAGAGCAAGCACAAGATAACTACTAATGATGTTGATGTAGCTGCCACCATCAGTGAGATTAACGCCATCTCCTTCATCTGAACTTGGAGGTGCCCCGGTCTCAAAAGTACAATACTTTGCATCTTTTTTCTCAGATTCAGATTTATTACTTGAGTCATCGGTCATGTGTCTATCCTTTGTGAACAACACCTTCTTTATTAGGACAACCCTTCATGAAATGACCTCTACCCTTGCATGTGAAGTAGCTTCTTTTGCGGTTGTCTTGTTGTGTGAGGACAAATATACAACAATACTTCCATCAGCTTCCTGATGAGTTGAACTTATCCAAGTGCTTGATGTGTAGGTGTGGCTGCGGGCTTGGCGACGCTTCAGCTATTGATCAGAACAAACGACTTGATGCACAAGTTCTTGCAAGTCTTAATATGGCACCATCTCTATTCTTTCTTGCATATCTTCATTGGCCATGAAAGAATCTTAAGACTGTGGCCTCTTGTCGCTCATTCACCCATGTACTAATCATTAGAATCTTCGTTTCTTTATAGTACTCATCAACACAACAATTCCTTTTGTCGGTCGTTGCATTCGATCGTATAAGGTTCTTGTGAAGTGTTCGGGATCAAAGCGTCTCCGAATCAGATTCTTCATTAGCACCCATGCCTCCGGACGACCTCCGGCATGACATAGTAATCAGATTGTACCTTCTTCTCCTCTGTATAGCAGTGGTTATCAAAGATCTGACCCACACGGATCTCCCACTCCAAATAGTCATCGGGCTTAGATTCTCATTGAACGATGGTATGATAAGTTTGAATTTACCAATCTCATCATCTTCATAGTCATGATGAAAATGTCCATGACCTCTTCCGCCCATGGAGAAGCCTTCTTGGGTTTCACCTCGATGATTATGATGAGCACGTCGTGGTCGCAACTTGTAGTATTCTCGATCATCATCGTAGTGATCACTCCAACGCTCTCCGTGGTGGTCCCATTGTATGGGGAATTATCGTTGTCAACACCGTGCATCAAGTCCATCTCGTGGGGGAGATTGTGGTTCCCAAACAACATCTTGTTGTTGGTGGTGAGCATGTTGGGATAGTGTAGTATGGTAGCTATGGGCATCATCGGGGTATACGTGCGCGTGCTCTCCATTTCCCTCCTCCGGGCGGCGTTGGCGCTGTAGTTTGTGGAGTTGTCGATGTCGATCCCATGTAGAAGCCTACTTCGACAAAGTTCCTCTGTGAGGAAGTTGATTCTCCGGCTGAGGTTGGTCTCCACGGTCGTGACGCGCTTCTTCACCTTGTTCAACATACTCTCGTGTATTTTCCAATGCCAACACATCGGTGGGTTCCAAACTCGGATCATACATGGGAAGTGGTGGTTCCTCCTCCATGAGGCGCCCACCTCCATGTACTCTATCAACACCATTGGACCTCCTCGAACTCATGGAAGCTTCTCAAGAACAAAACCAGCAAGAAAACAAAAATAGTACCATGATCAACCTATTGCTCTGATGACAAGATGTTTTGGGGTGCCGCTGAGACGATCTTTCACGGTACCAAACAACTCACGAGTAAGTACAACTAACTCTCTCAAGTGGCAAGACACAGGAGAAAACACTCCTAAACATATTGCACTGGATAACTAGCTTGGTCTATAAGAACACAACCCAATCCTATATGGATTTAGGACAAGCCCTTCAATTCACACACACACAAGAGATAATGCTGAAGGAAACTAACGCTCAACTTCTCATCCCCTCACATGGAGCAGCTGGAAGTACTTATACTAGAATCACCTACTAGTTATATGTGAAGACAACTCAAAATGAAGGATTAATTCGTAAGTTGTAGCAGGGGCCAGTCAGTCGCCCACTTTGCCACTGTGCGGTGTGGTGCGCCGTGCTCCCCTTTCTTCACTTGCGCAGTCTCAGAAAAATGCAAGAACAATGGCCATCCAAAACTTACGTGCACTCATAGCACTGTGATAAGTTTAGACAAGTTTTGGAACAATCATACAGCTACACATGATGATTGGGGCAACAGGAAACCGCCGTTTATTCTGGACACAATTCGGAGTGGGAAACCCCCCAAATTCTCCTTATTCAGGCATTTACAGTCTCACAGCACGATAACAACAGTAGCATTCCTATATGTTGTTCCTGATCATCTGGTTTTCTAATGTTCAAGGTATAACGACAACCCACTCTACACGTGTCCACAAGGAAATACACATGTCCTATAACATCTTTGAATCAATACTCCCAGCACATACACACAAAACCATACATGAACTAGCCGCGGGTGTTGCTCCGCAGGGAAGGGATCATTCATTTTTCTTCTCGAATTTCGCCTTGTCAGCGCCGCTGTACGGAGCGACGTGGTATGCATATTGCTGGAGGACTGAGAAGACGACCATTTCCAGGATAATCAAGATATTCTGGATTGCCTCCTGGATGTGCTCCACGTCCAGCCAGAAATGGTGAGACTGAATCACCCCTACAGCAGCCAAAATATCCAGTGCACAGCCCTGCAGACAAGTAACGGCATTCAAGAATCAGGAGTTTGATCATATTTGATTTGATAAAAAGAAACTGTGTTACAAAATGGAACGGGTGTCGTATTTAGCTAATTAGTTTCATACAGCGAAGGATTGCAAATTAGGATGTTGCCTCAAGCACCCATAGTAGACAATAGGGTGATTCACTCACAACAAGAGTCCACTGGCAATGTCTACTGCAACAAAGTTGTGCGTCGAAAGGTGAAATAATTTAACTGATTTATGCTCATAAACTTGTTTCACACTTATCTTAGCTTATTCTTTTCACGACAAGGTAGCCATGTGTAGTTGTTTCTTTGCGACCTTTATTGTTATTATTACTGAATTTGGATATTTACATGGCAATGCATGGAAAATTAAATTGCAGACAAAGCTCCTAGATTGATAACCATCAGCTATAAAAACAAAATAAGGTATTATGCTGGAAAAATCCAAAGAATGAGTGAAAAAAGAAGCTTCATGCAAAATCATCGCAGATAACATGGCAAGAATAAAAGGTCTTAACTATCAACATTACTAAACCAATATCACTACCTCAACCAAATGTTGCGATGCAACCATGAACACAAACTGGTGTAAAATTACATCAATAGCATTCAGACACACGGAAAAACTAACCCCAAAGATATTTATAAGAATATTCAAACTCTTTCCAGCCAGGAGAGGGAGTGACATACCTGCCAGAAAGAGAAGAAGACAATCCCTTTGATGCACAAAAACTTAGCAAGAGGCTTGTGAGGTGCCAACTCCTTAGCAAACAAGTGATAGAATATGACCAAGGCATATAATGCCATGGAGACTGAAAAGTTCAGTATAATTGTGAACGTCCAGCTGACCCAGCTGGGGTACAGCCCAAGAAGCTGAAGTGTAATAATCAGAATGGAGCACACAGGCCTGACAACAACAAATTGCCAGGTCCAGTACTTCAGAAGCTTTAATGTCTTGTGCTCCAACCGAACATTGCGGGGCTGCCAAAGCACAGAGCCAGAAGCATACTGGTTACTTTCAGTACAAGTAAAACTAATGAAAAGGGTGAAAAGCCTT